TCCCAACGACTTCTGCGCCCGCGTCTGCCCCTCCTTCTGCCAGACCTGCGTCGCTCCCCCGGATGATGGCTCGGATGGGGGTTCAGATGGAGGCTCGGGAGGAGGTTTGGGAGGAGGGTTCGGTGGGGGGTTTGGTGGGTTTGGGGGAGGGTTGGGTGGGAGTAGCTTTGGAGTTTTGGGTAGCACAGGGGGGGTTAGTACTAGTGGGGGGGGAATGGAGGGAAGGAAAGGCTTGACAAGTTTTGGTTTGGTTGGCAAAAGAGGTGCTTATGGGAAAAGGCACCAACACTAGTGTACCACACATTCTACCGTATGTTTTATTCTAGTCGATCTTTCAGTTCAAGTGATACCAGATTTTTTCTGTCCTTTGAAATATGTACCACCGTATACTTGAAGATGAGGTGGCAAATGGAACTAACAGTGTATAGTAATGACAAATGATACAAATCAGGCCCTCAGATATCAGCGTAAAACACGCTGATTACCAGGCCCTCAGATACCGTATCAGTGTAAAACACGCTGATCACGCTGATTTTGTAGCTCATATTTTCGTTTTCCCTGAAAATTCAGCATATGCTTCAATTTTGCACTGAAATTTCAGTATAACCTAGTCTGCCACACTGACCATTTTGCGTGTTGCTGTACAAGTAACACTGACGAATCAGTATAGTGTATTGAGTAACACTGATTCGGACATGATAGGGTATGGGTGTACAGGGGATCGAACCAGCAAAAAGGAATCGCAACCAACTGAAGAAGCTTCAGTCGACTGAAATTGAACCCGAGAGCTTCGAGATTGCATGACATAACTCAAACAACACGCTCATAAATTGTAATGCCAATTTTTTTAACTTGTTTTTCAGTGTGCCTTGAAAATTCACACTGAAAAGATCAGCATAAATTTTACCCCCAACACTGATTTGGACACAACTTTGGACACTCCACACACTGATCGATCAGCATGCCCTGAAACCAATATGAGGGCCTGCTGATTATGCTGATTTTGTAGCTGTGATTTTCGTTTTCCCTGAAAATTCAGCACATGCTTTAATTTTGCACTGAAATTTCAGTATAACCTACCTTGCCACACTGACCATTTTTCGTGTTGCTGTACAAGTAACACTGACGAATCAGTATAGTGACGTGAGTCACACTGAAACGGAGTTGACTGCGTGGGGGGGGAGGGGGGGGGGGGAAATGGGTACGCGTATACAATCTGTACCGGTACCTTCCCATGATTCCTGACACCCCACGAACACACTTGGCATTTTTTCGCATGCACTACACTGCAACTTGCCCAACACCACACACCTTGTACTGGGGTTTTAGCTATAGTTTTTATTACACTGTTGGTTCAGTTTACTTATGATTTTTACACTGGCAAAATCAGTACGGTATTAAAAAAAACCATGAACGCTGATTTGGACACCTCGTTGGCGGGGGCACGCTGATCCATCAGCATACCCTCAAACCAATTAGAGGGCCTGATACAAGTGCTTAGGCTATAATTGTCAAAATCATATGCTATAGTCTATGTAGGCTGTAGTGGGGTAGACAATATGGGGTACAACATTTTTAGGTTTTCCTACTTGTACCCACCTGCTTGCTAGTTCATTCATTCCTCGTTCTTTCACATGGTATAGAGCAGGTTCCCTAGTGGGAACGTTTCAAAGGGCCCACCGAATATCGATTTTTTTTCCTGCCCGGAGTGCGCTTCGCCCCTGCCCGAGTCGCGCCCCGTGTGCCTACCCTTCCGTCGCGTCCCCTGCACTTAGTGGCCCGTCGCGCTCCCCTACGGCCCCATAGCGGCCCCTCTCACGGCCTCTCACGGCCCCTCTCACGGCCCTTCGCGGCCCCTTCAGGCCCCTCGTGGCCCCTTCGCGGCCTCCCTTCGCGGCCCCTTCGCGGCCCCTTCACGGCCCCTTCGCGGCGCCTTCACGGCCCCTTCACGGCCCCTTCACGGCCCCTTCGCGGCCCCTTCACAGCCCCTTCGCGGCACCTTCACGGCCCCTTTACGACCCATTCACGGCCCCTTCGCGGCCCCTTCACGGCCCCTTCGCGGCCCCTTCGCGCCCCCCTCGCGGCACCCTCGCGGCCCTTTCGCAGCCCCTTCGCGGCGCCTTCATGGCCCCTTCGCAGCCGCATCGCGGCCCCTTCACGGCCCCCTCGCGGCCCCCCTCGCGGCCCCTTCGCGGCCCCTTCACGGCCCCCCTCACGGCTCCCTTCGCGGCCCCTTCGCGGCCTCGCTCCGTCGCCAGTCGCGGCCCCGCCCCGTCGCCAGTCGCGGCACCGTCGCGTCACCCCCGCCTCGTCGCGTCGCCCCTGCGGGACCCGTGAGGCGCGGCTCCTGTGCGTCGCGACGCCCCTACGGGACCCGCGTGGCGTCACCCCTGCCCGCCGCGGCGCCCTGCCCTAACCCGAACCTGGAGCAGCCGCCACTGCAGCAGCCGCCCCTGGAGCAGCCGCCACTGCAGCAGCCCCCTCTGGAGCAGCCTCCCCTGCAGCAGCCGCTCCTGGAGCAGCCACCCCTGAAGCAGTCACCCCTGGAGCAGCCGCCCCTGAAGCAGCCACCCCTGGAGCAGCCGCCCTTGGAGCAGCCACCGCTGCAGCAGCCGCCCTTGGAGCAGCCGCCCCTGCAGCAGCCGCCCCTGGAGCAGCAGCCACTGCAGCAGCCGCGCCTGGAGCAGCCACCCCTGCAGCAGCCGCCCTTAGAGTAGCCGCCACGGCAGCAGCCGCCCCTGGAGCAGCCTCCCCTGTAGCAGCCGCCCCTAGAGCAGCCGCCCCTGAAGCAGCCGCCCCAGGAGCAGCCGCCACTGTAGCAGCCGCCCCTGGAGCAGCCACCCCTACAGTAGCCGCCCCTGGAGCAGCCGCCCCTGGAGCAGCCACCCCTGCAGCAGCCGCCCCTGGAGCAGCCGCCACTACAGCAACCGCCCCTGGAGCAGCCACCCCTGCAGCAGCCGCCCCTGGAGCAGCCGCTCCTGCAACAGCCGCCCCTGCAGCAGCCGCCCCTGGAGCAGCCGCCCCTACAACTGCCGCCTCTGGAGCAGCCGCCCCTGCAGCTGCCGCGGAGCCCTCGCCCTACAGTGGTAGCGACCTCGCCGTTGCCGCCGTCGTACGCCTGCCCTTCTCGCCACTTTTGAGCACTGCCCTGCCCGTACTGCTGTTACTGCTGCTCTTGCTGCTACTGCTCTTTCTACTGCTACTGCTGCTCCTGGCGGGGCCAGATGCAGCTCCAGCGTCATCCGCGTGAGTCCCTCACCCCCCAATAGCTTCGTGAGAGGTACACTAGTTGGGGTTATAGGGGTGGCCGCGCTGCGACTACTACTATTGCTACTACGGCTACCATTGCTCCTCCTGCTCCTGGCGGTGGCCACATGCAACTCCAGCGACGTCCGCGTGAGTCCCTCACGCCCTAGCAGCTTCGTGAGTGGTACGCTACTTGGGGTTGTCGGGGTGGCCATAGTGGGAGTCGTCCTAGAGTGAGTAGTTCGGCAGCTGCTTGTAGTGGCCAGGTGCAGCTGCAGCGTCGTCCACGCGCGGTCCTTTCGCCCCAGCAGCTTCGTGAGTGGTACCCTCATCGTGGCGGGTCACAGGGTACTGCTCGCTGTCTGTACGTCATTCGCACTGGTGCTCGGACTGGTCAGCCTTGCGAGACGTTTGGTCACACAGAGTCCCGCTGCTTCGCCCGTCTAAGCGACGCCTGGCGTACGGAGTTTAGCGACGCGGCTGAGCTCCCCGACTGGGTGGAGCTGCTTAGGCTGCGGGTAGATATCTATACTCTTGACTATGATGCTATCCTCACTGACATGTATGCATTGCCTACTAGTGATGAGGGTGACTGTTACCTTTGTGTTCCGCCTGACCCGGGCTTTGAGGCTGCTACTCTAGGTGCTAGTAAGGCTGCTGCTCTAGGTGCTAGTGCGTCTGCTGCCCCAGGTGCTGGTGAGTCTGCTCTCTCAAGTACCACGTCGCCTCAGGCCTTACACACCTTCACCCTTGACTCGGGTGCTTCCCGCTCCTTCTTTCGAGATCGCACCACGCTTACGCCACTTAGTCGGCCAGTTGCGGTCTCCCTGGCGGACCCCTCTGGGGATCCTATCCTTGCTCGCTTCTCCACTGTCTTACCATGTCCAGCAGCCCCCTCTGGCACCCTGTCAGGTCTCTACCTCCCCTCGTTCTCTACGAACTTGGTGAGTGGTGCTGGTCTACAGGATGGGGGGGTTGACTAGTTCACTCCTGCGAGTCAGTGGGTGACCCACTGTACGTGTGCTCGGACGGGCCGACACTTGGCCACGTTTACCCGTCGGCCGGGGTCAAGCCTGTACACACTGACTACTGAGTCTCCTCCGGTTGCTGAGTCTGGTCAGGTAGCTGCGTCGAGTCAGGTGTTTGCTGCAGTGTCCAGGTCTGGTCCTGAGTCTGCTCCCTGCTCGTGTCGTCTCCTGTCCCACCAGACTCTCCTTTGGCACCATCGCCTTGGTCACCCCTCCCTGCCTCGTCTCCGAGGCATGGCCTCCCGTGTCCTTGTCTCTGGTCTCCCCCGATCCCTCCCTCTCCTCCCTCCGGGGCCTGCCCCTGCCTGCGTCCCTGCGTCGAGGGGCGACAGCGCGCCGCCCCTCACTCCTCCGAGTTTCCTCCGATAGAGGCTCCCCTGCAGACTCTTTACATGGATGTGTGGGGCCCCGCCCGCGTCCGTGGCCAGGGTCACGAGCGATACTTCCTGTTGGTGGTTGACAACTGCTCGCATTATACCACGGTGTTCCCCTTGCGCAGCAAGGGTGACGTCACTCAGGTGTTGATCAACTGGATCCGCGCGGCTCGTCTCCAGCTCAGAGAGAGTTTCGGCTCGGACTTTCCTGTTCTGCGTCTGCACTCTGACAGAGGCGGGGAGTTTTCCTCTGCCCGTCTGGGAGCCTTCTGTTGTGCACAAGGCATCCGCCAAGACCTTCACGCTTCCGGCCTCTCCACAGCAAAATGGGATTGCAGAGCGCCGCATTGGCATGGTCATGGACGTCGCTCGTACGTCCATGATCCATGCGGCTGCTCCCCATTTTTTGTGGCAGTTTGCGGTTCAATACGCAGCGCATCAGCTCAACCTTCAGCCCCGGGTCTCCTTGCCAGAGACCTCCCCCACCTTGCGGTGGATGGGGAAGGTTGGCCATGCGTCTGCATTTCGTGTCTGGGGATCTCGGGCATTTGTCCGCGACATGTCTGCGGAAAAGCTATCCCCCCGTGCTGTTCCCTGCGCCTTCCTTAACTTCCCCCCTGACGCGCCTTGTTGGCAGATTTACCACCCCACCTCGCACCGTTTTCTGTCCTCCCAGGACGTCACCTTTGACAAGTCGGTGCCTTACTACCGTCTCTTCCCCTACCGCACTGCGCCCCTCCCCCCGCCGCCGCTCTTCCTTGCGCCAGGTCCTCCCTCGGTAGACCCTCTCCCCCCTTAGGGTCCTGCCCCGTCAGGTGTGTCCCAGGTAGACGCAGTCGAGCCTGTCGAGGTAGCTGTTGACTCTGGTGCCGCTAGGGGTGCTGAGCCTGCGGGTGCCGGGTCTGGAGGTGCTGAGCCTAGCGGTGCGGAGCCTGGGGTTGCTGAGTCTAGGGGTGCTGAGTCTGCGGGTGCCGGGTCTGGGGGTGCTGAGCCTAGGGGTGCGGAGCCTGGGGGTGCTGATCCTGGGGGTACGGAGCGTGGGATGCGGAGCGTGGGGGTGCTGGGTCTGCTCGTGTGGCCTCTGGCGGTGCTTCGTCCAGTCGGGAGCTACCCTCTCCGCAGGAGCTGCGCGAGTGGTTTGCCCGGCGCTGGAGCCGTGCTGCTGGAGCTAGAGGTGTTACTATTGCTGCTGGTCCTGGAGGTGCTCGTACTGGCGGTACTGGAGCTGCTGGGACGTGGACTGCTGTTGGGGCTATTGGAGTTGGTCCTGCTGGAGGTACTGCTGAAGCTGTTGGCGGTACTGGAGCTGACGGTCCTGCTCGAGCCGCTGGAGCTAGAGCAGCTGGGGGTGTTGGCGCTGGAGGTGCTGCTGGCGCTGGTGCTTCTGAGGGTGCTGGAGTTGGCGCTGTTGGAGTTGGGGGTGCTGCTGGCGCTGGTGCTGCCGCTGGGGGTACTGGTGCTGTCCCTGCTGGTTCTGGAGGCGCTGCGCGGCCGCGGCCGTACTTCGTTCCGCTCCTTGAGCAGGTTCTTGGTCTCCCGCCCTCTACTGGTCCTCCTCCTGCCTTAGAGTGTCCACAACCTGTCTAGTCGCGGTCACAGTTACAGCCCGCCTCCCCCTTACCTGCTCCTTCTCCCTACACTGGTCCTACTGGAGGTCTTGCTGAGCGTCGTGAGCCTGCGTCTCGTCCTGCGTCGCCTGTTCGTGCTGCTCGCACTAGTAGTCATGCTCCGCGTCAGCGTCCTCCTGCCATCCCGGGCGCACACGAGATGGCACTGCGTCCTTCCACTGCTCCTCTGCGTGTCCCGCTGCCGTCTCCTCCAGAGTCCTCTCTTCCTGTCCTTGCTGACCCAGAGTATGCCTCTCTTCGTGTTGCCAGTCCTACTCTGACACGTCTCCTGGCTACTGTTGTGACTGACCCTTCCTTTGAGTCCACTTTTGCGTCTGCCTTGGTTGCTGAGCTTGTCGACTTTGCTTCTCGCTGTCGTCTAGACTACGCCACTAGTCTTGTTGCTCTGTCTGAGGCTGTCTGTCCTCCGTCCGTCACGGGTGAGTGTGCTCTTAGCACGGACGTCCTTGAGAACAGGCAGGAGGAGTTCCAATGTTTTGCTATTGCTTTGCCTCATTTCGTGTCCACGTTGATTACCCCTGAGGGAGACCCGGATGCACCAGACATCCCGACTCCTTGATTGTACGCTGAGGCGATCGAGGGTCCCTACTCCTCTCAGTGGCAGTCAGCCATGGACGCAGAGATGGCTTCCTGGAAGTCCACAGGCACCTATGTCGACGAGGTTCCCCCACCTGGTGCGAACATCGTCAGTGGCATGTGGATTTTCAGGGTGAAGCGGCCGCCGGGTTCTCCGCCTGTCTTCAAGGCGCGTTACATGGCTCGAGGCTTCAGTCAGCAGCAGGGAGTTGACTACTTTCAGACCTTCTCTCCCACCCCGTGGATGACCACTCTTCGGGTGCTGCTGCACATAGCCGCTCAGCGGGACTACGAGCTCCACTCTCTTGACTTCTGCACAGCTTTCCTGCAGGACAGCCTGCACGAGGAGATCTGGCTGCGCTGCCCACCTGGCTCCACTGGGTCGTTTCCTCCTGGTACCCAGTGGAGCCTCCGGCGGTCATTCTACGGTCTCCGCCAGGCGCCCCGTGAGTGGCACGACACACTGAGGACTACACTTGCGGCTCTTGGGTTTGCTCCTTCTACAGCCGACACGTCGCTGCTTCTACGCTCCAACACCTCTTTGCCGCCGTTCTACATCCTCGTGTACGTCGAAGACTTGGTCATTCCCATTGCTGACACTGCTGGACTCGCCCACGTGAAGTTTGAGCTGCAGAAGAGACACACGTGCACAGACCTGGGTGAAGTGCGCAGCTACCTTGGCTTGCGGATCACCCGGGACAGAGCACAGCGCACCATTACCCTGACTCAGTCACACATGGTGCAGCAGGTCCTTCAGCGCTTCGACTTCACGTACTCCTCGCCTCAGGCCACTCTGTCTACTCGCCACTCGCTCTCAGCTCAGCCTTCAGATGAGTCCGTACAGCCGAGTGGCCCGTACCCAGAGCTTGTTGGCTGCCTCATGTACCTGATGACCTGCACACGACCTGACCTTGCATACCCTTTTAGCATCTTGGCACACTATGTTGCTCCTGGGAGACACTGACCAGAGCACATGGCTGCAGCGAAGAGGGTGTTGCGCTACTTGTGCAGTACGTCGGGCATGGGGCTAGTGCTTGGAGGGCGACGTCCAGTGGTCCTCACAGGTCACGCTGACGCTTCTTGGGCTGACGACCAGGCTACGCAGCGGTCGTCACAGGGTTACACCTTCAGCCTTGGTTCCGGCTCTGTTTCGTGGCGGTCCACCCGCTCGTCCTCTGTTCTCGGCTCCAGCTGTGAGGCTGAGATCTACGCGGGGGCCATGGCTGCGCAGGAGCTACGCTGACTCACCTACTTGTGGACTGACCTAGGAGAGCCGCCTCGTTCTCCTCCAGTTCTGTACGTAGACAACAAGGCCATGCTGGCCTTGTGTAAGGAGCACACACTGGAGCACAGAACGAAGCACATTGCTCTTCGCTACTTCCTTGCTCGTGAGCTGCAGCAGCGTGGTCAGCTGCGCCTTGCTTACGTGGCCTCTGAGGCCAATACTGTTGATATCTTTACCAAGGCACTTCCGCCTTGTGATCATCAGCGCTTCTGTACGATGCTAGGTCTTGTGCCTACTTGGCCTCACTTGCTCACTTCTTGACCTTGCTTATACTGTCATCTTTCTATACCTGCACTTGCTTGTTTACCTTTATATATGATCTTGCATGTGAACTGACCTTGTGGCCCTGAACTTGTGCTCGGAATGTGTGGTGACGTTGTGATCCACCCTGAGCTTGCTTTGCTTTGCTTGACTGGTCTTGTGACCTCTTGTTCTCCCCCACTTTGCCTATGGGGGTGTGTCAAACTCATATGCTATAGTCTGTGTAGGCTGTAGTGGGGTAGACAATATGGGGTAGAACACTTTTAGGTTTTCCTACTTGTACCCACCTGCTTGCTAGTTCATTCATTCCTCGTTCTTTCACAATGATGAGGTACACTTTTGAGGGTACAACCTTTTAAAGTTGTTTTGTAGCCCAACCCTTTGCTAGTCATCAGGCCCCCATTTAACAACGTAAAACTATTTTGTAGCTGTAATTTTCGTTTTCCCTGAAAATTCAGCATCTTCCTCAATTGTACATTGAAATTTCAGTATAAACTACATGGATCACACTGACCATTTTGCGTGTAGCTGTACAAGTAAGGGTACATTCCTGTGTGGACACAAATGTCTCAATGCCCCTTTTCCCGAGTAGCGTCGAAACATTTTGTCAAATGCGTGTCACAAAAATCGAATGTATCACGACAGTAGGCGACCAGAAGAAATGTACAGTTGTGCATGTGACTGGGTGACTGTACTCCCATTTCTTCAACCATTTAGCAGGCTGTCGAAAAGTGTAGGCAAGAATCAGAAACAGGAAAGAGGATTTTCACTAGCAGGTAGTTGAGTACATACAGCAAACCCTAATTCGGGCTGTACTCGCTATAGAGTACCCCACTGCAAGCTAGACAAACAACACATTCTGATACACCCCCATAGTCAAAGTGGGGTATAATCAGTACAGCAAGCAGTCAAAGCAGTATTTTTCAAGTACTAGCAAAACTAGAGGCAGTCACAGAGGGCAAGCGAGGAGGAGGAGAAACTGTGGGGGCGAGAAGTTGGGAGGCGACGTCTGAAGCTGCAGACACACGGGCAACAGGAGCGCGCAGCTGGCTCTCTGGGCTACCAGGCTAGACCCCGGACTACAGGCGCTGCGGACGACAAGACGGCTGCCTCCACTCAACTTCCCCCAGCTGTCCCACACCCCTTTCACATACCCCATGCTGTACCTCCAGCACTGCTGACACGCCACCCCCCTCGTACCACGCCAACGGCTCCAACACATCCACCCCCCGAAGCGGCAGTTGCAACAGTGGGAGATGGAGGAGGAGGAGGAGCAGAGGATGGCGCACACACCCGTCACCCCCATACTCGCCACCCCCTCACCCGCCACCCCCAAACCCTTAACACAGGCAGCAGGGCGGGCAACAGCGGGGGACAGCGCGGGCAGCAGCTCAAGGGACGGCGAGCGGGGGCCGCCCGCGGCTCCCCAGAGCGCTGCGACGGGGCAGCGGGGGCCGCACGCGACTCCCCAGGGCGCCGGGACGGGGCAGCGGGGGGCCGCGCGCAGCTCCTCAGGGCGTCGCGACGGGGTAGCAGTGGCCGCGCGCGACTCCCTAGGGTGTCGCGACGAGGCTGCGGAGGCCGTGCGCGGCTCCCTAGGGCGCACGACGGGGCAGTGGGGGCGATGCGCAGGCCTGCGGGGCGACGCGACGGGCTCTCCGGGGGCGACGTAACCATCGACGGGGGGCGACGCGCGGGTCGACGGGGCAGGTGCGTGGCGGGAAGAAAAACCGCTGCAGGCCCTGAGCGCGCGGCAGGCAGCAAACATCGCGCGCCCGGGGCGTGCAATTGGCAGGATAGCAGCAGAAGCATCGGGTGGGACCACCCACAGGATCGACCCAGGAGGGTCAACCTGCTCTGATAGCATGTCGAAAAGTCTAGGCAGGAATCAGAAACAGGAAAGAGGATTTTCACTAGCAGGCAGTTGAGTACATATAGCAAACCCTAATTCGGGTTGCACTCGCTATAGAGTACCCCACTGCAGGCTAGACAAACAACACATTCTGACACAAGCGAGCGCGGGATTTTTACCTCGCGATTTTTTTCACCGTCAGGTGTCCAGATGCACGTGGTCGTGTCGAACATTTGGAGCCGCGTGCGATTTTTTGTCAATGATGAGTCAACTTGCAATTCGTCAGCAACGTCAGCGCGTTTCACGCCGACCAATTAAAAATACAGTACTGGTCGCCGAAACGCGATTCGCATTTGAGACACAATACAGTTTATGCTGTTTTTGGGTGTCACAAAGCGTTTGAGACACAAGTGTCCACATAGGAATGTACCCTAACACTGATGAATCTGAAACGGACTTGACCCATTCGGAGGAGGGAGGGGGTACGCGTGTGCAGTCCATTCCTAGCCCGGGATTCACGAGACCCCACCCCACACACTTGGAGTTTCATGCCATGCGTTGTACAGATTGCGCGCCGACGTGTTTTGCATCGCCGGAAGGAACTCTCACAGCGACAAATTTCCGCTAGTGATTCAACTTGTTTTTCTTTTTACACTAATGGTTCCGTTTACTTAGGACTGCCATGAACTCTGATTTGGACACCTGGGCGGCTTGGGCACGTTGATCCATCAACATGCACTCAAACCAATCTGAGGCCCTGCTAGTCATTCATCTCGCTACATGCTATTCTGAGATGGTATCAGATGGTTAGTGATGGGCCACCTACGTCTTTGAGTGCCGACCAGCCAGCCAACCAGCCGGCCAGCTAGCCAGCCAGCTGTCCAGCCAGCCAGTCAGCGCCTAGGCAGCCGGTCGCCCCGTGCAGCTCGACACGTCTTAGGTTGCTCGTCGACCCGTACGGCCCGTCGCGCTTAGTAGCAGCGCACGCCGCTAGCATAGCGCGCCCATGCAAAGCGCACGGTAGCAGCGCTCGCCACAGCAGGGCGCATAACAGCAGCGCGCACCGTAGCCCACACCAGCACGCACCCGCGGATGCTGCAGCACGGATGAGCACGCACAACTGCATGCAACCAGCACATACGCCCTACCCGCAGTGCCAACCGCCAACGAGCATGTGCAAGCAGCAGCTACTAGCATGCCACCAACAGCCCCTAGCGCACCAGCAGCAGCAGCTAATGCGCTAACAGGAGCTGCCAGTGCTCAGCCAGCAACTAGCGCCTCACAAACGATCCTGCAACCTTTCGATCAGATTTTCATTTTGTACCGCCCGCGTTAGGCCTACTATAGGTTTCAGATTTAGAGTATAATAATTCACAACCACCCGTTTTGTAGCACATACTATCGCCTGTACTGCAGCTGTAAAACGACACATACTTCTCACTACGAACGGCTCTTCTAGTGGCGGCTGACAGCCACACTTCTCGTTCCTAGCTCCGGCCGTTTCTAACTCCAACCGTTCCTCGCGCCAGTTGTTCATAGCATGCCGCTCCTACGCCTAGTTAGTTTTTACCATAACTTCCGCTAGAGTTTTGCAGCAGTAGGGATAGCAGCAGTAGCAGCAGCAGCAGTGGTGTTTTTCACAGCATTGACGCCCTCAGCAACAATGCGGGCCTAGTGGTCCAGGGAGCGTCAGCCCAGACAGCTCGAGGGCTAGTTGTGGTGGCCACAACGCCGGATCCTGTTAGTACGTGATCATGACTGGCCCTAGTGCTGGCACCACCTGCTGGCCTCCTGACTGCTCTGCACTGCACTGCTACAGTCTCTCGACAACCTAAACCCTAGCCTCCGCTTTTTCTCAGGTCTCTCGTCCATGTTTAGTTCACTCCCTCCTTCGTCTGCGCCACCGTGCACTCTTTGCGTCAAGGGTAGGCTGCGCACCATCCCTCACTCCTCCTCCCTTCGACCAGTCACCGAGCCCATCCAGACTCTGTATTGGACGTTTGCGGCCGCGCCCCAATCATTGGGCTGAGGTGTGTGGGGGGGGGGGGGGAGGGGGGGGGAAGGGGGGGGGGAAGGAGAGCGCTTCTTCCTGGTGGTGGTTGACGACTTCACCCACTATAATATGGTGTTCCCCCTGCGACGAAATTCCGACGTCAATTCTACCCTAATCCCATGGTTACTAGCCACTTGCACAGCATTGTAGTCGTGTCCTTTGTCTCGACTCCGACCGTGGGCCTGAGTTTTGCTCTGGCGTGCTTGCCGTGTTTCATTGCGAGCAGGGCATCACCTATTCCTGAACACTTGCGGACTCACCATAGCAAAATGGGGTCATTGAGCACCGCATAGGCTGGGTTGTAAGAATCGTTTGCACCTCCATGGTCCATGCCTGTACGCCCCATTTTCTGTGGCCCTACGCAGTTCACTACGCTGCCCACCAGCTGAACCTCTGGTCGCGTGTCTCTTGCCCGGAGGTTTCACCAGCCTGTCTTTGGACTGGTTGGGGCTGCCTTGCGTTTGTTCGTGACACCTCTGCGGACAAACTCTTGGCTCGTACCCTCCTATATATCTTCCTTAGTTTCCACCCCCTTGACTTTGTCCTTTTCCACTCGCCCCTCCACTGGTTCTTTGACTCCCGTAACGTCACTTTTGAGAAGTATGCGTCCTTCTACGCCCGCTACCCCCACTGAGGGCTCCCGATTCCTCCCCCTCCCTTCTTCCTCGCCCCCACTCCTCTTGCTCCTGCTCCCCCGACCCTCCCCACCCAAGGGGTCCCCCGTCAGGTGTATCTCACGCTTCTCATCTTCCCTCGGTACCACAGTCGTCCTCACAGTCACCTCACAGTCTTCTACACGGCCTCATCTCCTCTTAAGGACCTTTGTTCAGTCTTGTTTCAACCTAGTCCTCCTCGTTCTCTGCCTCATTCTGTTCTCCCATCACCTCATGTGTCGTCTCTTACTGTCTCCTCTCAACCTATCACTGACCACTACCGTACTGCTCGTCATGTTGTCTCACATGTTCTCGCCTACCTTGTCTCAAACTCTACTACCTCTCCGTCGTCTGTCTCGGCTCTTGTTGCCGCTATCACTGACTTTGCCACCACCCGTCGCCTTGACTATGCCACCCGCATGGTGGCTGCTCCTCCTACCCGTCCTCTGTCCGCCGGGGGTGATTTTCTCTGCCCTTGTGACGTCTTGAGGACAGACAGTTTAATATGGAGTTCGTCGTAACCGATTCTGTCCATCGTTGTGCCATGCTGCTAGCCCCTAAGGAAAACCTGACGCTTGAGACATCCCGACTCCTCGCACTTACAATGAGGCAGTATCGGGATAGTGGGCCACTTAGTGGAAAGCTACACTGTTGAAACAAGGAAGTCCAATGGCACCGCATCGGGTGGGAGAAGTGTTATCGAATTTGGTCGCACATGGTTGCCGCAGCTGCTGGCGTCGCACACAACTAAAGTCCAAACAAACCAAAGTAGAATTGGGTGCATGGCATGGCAGAGATCCACAACATTATTTCTGCGTGGTGGTGGATGGCATGGAACGCAGAAGTCGAGATGACAGACAACGGTGGACTTGTCAATGCTGATGCAACCCCGCCGCGGATCGGATATGCACGAGGTTGAACAGGATGTTTTTCCCATCATAACACAAGCCTCGATGATATGCCGTCGTAGTTGATATGAAGAAGGTAGGGAAAAATAATAGGCATTTTCAAGTATGGCGGAAAATAGCACTGGCTGACGCCATCAATGAGCCCCAGCATCGGTGGTGACGATGGGGTCCGAAACCCGATGCTGCTCTTCAGGGCTCGTCCATAGTTTTGACATGTCAAAATCACTAGTGTTTACAATACGTACACATGTTGCTCAGCTGCTGCACGCACATTTGCTCTGGCCGAACCTAACTCTCTGCCCATGCACAATTGGTTTCGGGCACTAGCACGGGGTTTTTGCGGTTTACATATCCGCGAACCATTTGCAAAGGCAAGACGATTCGTCGAACAGGCAAAATGTGGAAGCTATATTGGCCAGCCATATAGCGCAGGGCAGAAACGGAAGCTACCACCTCTATTTGTTACACAAAATAAAAAACGTGCTACTCTTGTAGTTTTTCAAAAGCCACGAGCCACGTACCGCGCTTTGAAGACAGGTGGAGAGCCCGGCGGCCGCTTCACCCTGAAGATCCACATGCCACTGACGATGTTCGCCCCAGGAGGGGGAACCACGTCAACGTAGGTGCCTGTGGACTTCCAGGAAGCCATCTCTGCATCCATAGCTGCCTGCCACTGAGAGGAGTAGGGACCCTCTACGGCCTCCGCGTAAGAGCGCGGAGTCGGGATGTCTAGTGCATCCGGGTCTCCCTCAGGGGTAAGCAGTACGGACGCGAGATGAGGTGAAGCAGCAGCCAGACACTAGAACTCCTCCTGCCTGTCCTCAAGGACGTCCGTGCCAAGAGCACACTCACCCCCGACGGACGGAGGACAGACAGACGCAAACTCAGCAACGAGACTAGCAGCGTAGTCTAGACGACAGCGAGCAGCAAAGTCGACGAGCTCAGCAACAAGAGCAGACGCAGCAGTGGACTCAAAAGAGGGGTCACTGACGGCAGTAGTAAGAAGACGCGTGACAGTAGGACTGGCAGCACGAAGAGAGTCCGACTCCGGGTCGGCAAGGGTAGGAAGAGAGGACTCAGGAGGAGAAGGCAAAGGGGCACGCAGAGGAGCAGTGGACGGACGCAGAGACATCCGGTGCGTGCCAGGGACAGGAGGAGGACGTGGCTCGCGGCGTGAGTGTGGTGCGGTCTCGAAAGGAGCGAGAAGCCCCGAGTCAAGTGTGAAGGTGAGGGAGGCCGAAGCCGACGCAGTACCTGAGAGCGCAGCCTCACCAGTACCTGAGGGCGCAGACGGGCTGGCACCTAGAGCAGCAGCCTCACTAGCACCTAGTGCAGCAGTACCAATGCCCGGGTAGGGTGGGAAACACCGGAAACAGTCACCCTCATCACTAATAGTCACAGCATACATGGCAGCAAGGATAGCATCAAAGTCAAGATCATAGATAGCTACACCTGCCCTAGACAGCTCTCCCCAGCGGGGGATCTCACTAGCCTCGGGGAACTGCTGACGCCAAGCGTCCATCAGGCGGCCAAAGCAGCGCTGGGTGGGGTGGGCACCCCCACACTGCTCACCCGCGCGGTGGCCGGAGCGAAGGACGTAGGTGCACGGACCAAAACCCCCACCACGCTGACGCTGCGTGTACCACTCACGGAGCTGCTGAGGAGGGGGGATGTCCCGAGAACGCTGCTGCTGCTGCTGTTGCTGGCGCTGACCACCACCAGAGCCGCTCCGCTGCGAGGCACCACCCCGACCAGCTCCACCTCCTCCGCCACTGCAGCCTCCACCTCCGCCACCACCGCCGCCTCCGCTCCCACCGCTACCGCCGCCGCCGCCTCCGCCTCCGCTGTCGCCACCACCACCTCCACCCCCGCCACCACTCCCACCGCCACCCCCACTCCCTCCGCCGCCTCCACCGCCACCTCCACTACCCCCGCTAGCTCCACCCGCGCCCTTGCCCCCCTTGCCCTTGCCAGAGTGGCGTCTCCCGCTAGGGGCAGCCGGATCAAGGATGTCCCCTGAGGAGGTTGGGAGAGAGGGGGGAGGGGGTGGGGGTGCGGGTATGACTAGGGTGGGGGGAGGCTGAAGGGGAGGGGTGTGGACGGTGTCAGTCCAGAGAAGAGGACGGATGGTTAGGGGGAGGGGGTTAGGGGCAGAGGGGGAGGTGTAGTACGGGTTGGCTTCATCAAAAACCACATCCCGGCTACGAATGAGACGACCTGAGGGGGGATGGAGGAAGAGGTAATCCGGGGAGATGGGGTTATGACCAATGAATATGCAGGGGAGGGTGCGGGAGGCAAGTTTCCCAGCTGCACGTGAACGGTCCTCAGGGTGTATGAGAACATACGCCTTGGAGCCCCACACGCGCAGGGGTGAGATGTCGGGTTTAGTGGAGGTCCAGAGTTCAGTGGGAGTAGTGGTGGGCCGGGAGGGATGGGGGTAGAGATTAGTGAGGATGGCGGCGTGGAGGATAGCATAACCCCACAGAGAAGGCGGGCAGGAGGCATGGACCATGAGGCATCGAGCGGTCTTGGTGACCTCCCGAACCCTGCTCTCCGCCACACCATTCTGCTGAGGGGAATGAGGAAGGGTGTAGGTGTGGATAATGCCATGGGTGGAGCAGTAGGAGGAAAGCATCCGGTTAAGGAACTCACCGCCGCCATCGGAATGGAAGCGAGAGACAGGGCGTTTGAAATGGGTGCGTGCTTGTTCAGCCCAGGCAATAATGGCAGCCAGGGCCTCCGCCTTCTTGCGAAGGAGGGAGACAGTGGAGTACCGGCTGTGGTCATCTACCAGTATGAGCAGGTAGCGATGACCTTGCCTGGTGGGGGAAGGATTGGGGCCCCAGAGGTCCATGTGGACGAGATCAATGGGTTGGGGAGAAAAGGAGGGATGACTCTTGTGGGGGGCTTGCTTTAGTTTGCTTTCAGCGCAAACTGAGCAGGGAGGGGAGGGCGACGGGGGGAGAGGGGGGAGGGTGAGGGGAAGTCCGTCAAGAAGTTGAGAGGACACAGATTGACGAAGGGTGGCAAAGTTGGGATGACCCAAGCGGTGGTGAAGGAGGACGGCGGGATGGGTAAGGTCACGACAGTGACAGGAGGGGGAGGAGGGAGGGGAGGGGGAGGAGGGAGGGGGGGGGGAGGGAGGGGAGGGAAGGGGGGAAGAAGGGGAGGGGAGGAGGGGGGGGAAAGGGGAGGGGGGAAGGGAGTGAGAGGGAAGTAAGGTGGGAGTGGTGAGTTGCTGGATGGAGGGGCGAGGGGTGCGGTATGTGTACATGTTTGTGTGTGGGCAGAGGGGAATGCGACAGATGAAGCGACCAGTGATGGTGTGAAAGAGGTCGCAGTGAAGTGCATGACCGGGGAAGATGGCGGTGACACCTAGCCTTGGGAGGTCACGAAGTGCTACCAGATTGTTGCGTAGTGAGGGGACGTGTAGACCTGTGACTGTGCCTGAGGGGAAGATGGGGCAGGGGAGAGTGGAGGTGTGTCGACTTGTGATGGTGAAGCTGGAGTCGGCTCCGTAAATGGTGGAGGGAGTGGGGAGGGGGACTAGTGTGCCTGCGTCCCGAAGGACGGTGTGTGTAGCCCCACTGTCAAGAATGAACTCAAGGGGTGCAGAGGAGGAGGAAGAAGCGGAATACTGGAAGGATGTCTCATTAATAGCATGGGCATACATTGAAGGAGCAGGAGAAGTTGTGCTAACGTGTCCTATGAATCCAGCAGAAGGGAATGGAGTGAAGCCAGGAGGATTGGAGGAGGAGGGCTGGTCAGTAGGAGTGGTAGCAGGTGTAGGAAGCACAGGGCCGTATTGAGGAGGTGGATAAGGAGGGTATGGCCAGCCGGTATAGGGCGGAGGGTAGTGGGGGGAAGGGGCTTGAGGAGGAGGTGTGGGTGTAGGGGGAATGGGAGGGGTGGGAGTGGGAGGGGATGAAAGGAGAAGATGTTGAACTTGCTGGAGGATATGAGGTGGGAGATGCTCAGTGAGGACATTGTGAAGATTAGGGGTGGAGGGTTGATAGGCGGGGAGAGTGCGTATGTCATGGAGAGAGGGGCGCGGGAAGATGGTGTTCCATCGAGGTGGGGTGCCGACATTGCCACGTGCAAACCACTCGTCAGTGAGGGCTTTGAAGCACGTGTCAGTGGTGTGAGTGGTTTGAGCGCAAGGCTGACCTTTGTTGGAGCCATAGCGAATGATGTACTGACACGGGGGAAGGGTACCCGAGAGAGTCAGGTTCTTGCCACGCCCACCACGGCCGCCTCCTCGACCACCACCGCGTCCACCGCCTCGCCCACCACCTCATCCACCACCGCCACTGCCAGTACCGCCTAAGCCGCTACCTCCACCGCTGTTGTGGTTGCCTGGGGGAGTTTTGCGAGCCTGGATAGCATTGATGGTGGTAGAGTCACGTTGGATATCTGCTTCGCTGTCAAGGAGCCAGTCGATCGTGTCAGCCACAGGAGGAGGATGGCGGTACCGGGAGGTAAAGGTGATGCGGTAGGTATCGTATGTGGGTGGAAGGCAGTCGAGGATGCGTGCAGTGAGAAGTGATTCATGAATGCCAATGCCGCGGTCGTTGAGACGCTGCGCAGTGTCAATAAGGCGCCAAGTGAAGGCAGCAGCAGTGGGGGATGAGTCAAGAGTGGTGTCTTGAAATTTGCGAAAGAGAGCAAGGAGAGAGCGAAGGTCCTGTCGGTCATACTGAGTGGACAGGGTTTTCCAGAGGCCAGAGGAGGAGGTGGGGCGGAGGTCGCGTTTGAGGTGGGAAGGGATGCAGGAGAAGATAATGGCGAGAGCGCGGCGATCCGCAACTCGCCAGGCTGCAGTATCCTTGTTGAACTTGCGAAGTTCATCAGCATAGTCTTTCTCATCCTGTTCGTAGGAGAGGATGCGCGCAGTAGCATGAGCATGAGCCTTCTCAGCAGCACGGTGCGCCTCACGCTGGATGGTGTAGGCATCGCGAAGCTTGTTGTAGTTGTTCAAGTTGGCCGCCCATCGATCTGGGTTATCATCATGAACTGGGGCACGAGGGGGATCAGAGAGAGGCTCTGGGGGAGGAGGGGCATCAGGAGGAGGAGGCTCAAGAGGAGGAGGGGGAACGGGTGGAAGGCCGTTAGGGTGTTCGAGAACTACATCAAGAAGACAATAGTCTTGAACAATGACAGAGCCAAGGTGGGTGTGAAGTGTGTCCTCAAACGACGCCCAGTTCACGGCCGTAGTGTCATGGAGGAGTTCGAGCTTGTCGATAGCTCCGAGCTCAATGGGAGTAGAGTCGTCCGCCATGAGGGGGGGGAGGAAGGGGGAGGGGATGACGACACCGGCTGGAGGGCGGGTGCGGTCAAAAAACGACACCACCTGGAGGGGTGGCGTGGTCACGTTGTGTGCGGCAGCGCTTCGTCGCCCGCGGTTGCACCTTGTTGCCCACGGCTATGTCTTGACGCCCGCGGCTGTGCTGTACGTCCGCGGCTGCGCCTCGACGGCACGCGGCTGCTCCTGGACGCGTCCGCGGCGTCCGCCCCCGCTGGTCGCGTCCGCGGCGTCCGCCCCCGCTGGTCGCGTCCGCGGCGTCCGCCCGCGCTGGTCGCGTCCGCGGCGTCCGCCCGCGCTGGTCGCGTCCGCGGCGTCCGCCCGCGCTGGTCGCGTCCGCGGCGTCCGCCCGCGCTGGTCGCGTCCGCGGCGTCCGCCCCCGCTGGTCGCGTCCGCGGCCGTCGTTCGTCGCGGGTGTGGCGTCCGCCCGCGATTAGGGTTTCATCGGTCGCGGCGGTCGCCGATGCTCGTCGCGAGTGTGGCGTCCGCCCGCGATTAGGGTTTCGCTGGTTGTTCCGACTGTTGCGCGGATCGTTCTGACGGTTGATGTGTTAGTGGGAGAGCGGGGAGAGCTGCGAGAGGCGGAATTGACCGTAGGAAGGAGGGAGGGGGGCGCTGAAATTTAGCGCAAGGGGAGGGGGGGGCCGTGACGGCGTAGGGGCGCTCTAGGCGCAAAGAGCGACGTAGTGTCGCGTGAGAGAGGGGGGGGCGTGATATAGCACGCGGTATGTACGGTCCTTAGGATCGTAGATGGTGTGAGCCGTAGTTGCTCTGATTACCATGTGAGAAAGATGTAAGAAGAACCGATAGTTTCATTAGGAAGGGCATGGGTTTACATAGTAGAGCTAGGATGTAGGAGCCATGCCAACATTATTGGCCCACCACCAATAAGTTGGGTTGAGGAATTATTGGTGGGACCAATAATGTTGACCAAAAATGGGTCAACATTATTGGAGGTCCAATAATCTCCCAACCCAACCTTGGGGGCCCAATAATTGGGTCAAGGTTGGGTTCCAACCTCAAACTAGGGTAAACCCTAGTTGTGCACCCAAACTAAGTTTGGGTGCCTATCTCTAACCGAAGCTTATGTGATGATGCAGGTTACAATGAGGATGATAATCTGACATGGAGGGGCTTCAGCGCACGAGAACTGTTCTTTTTGAGTGAGAAGACTCAATGGTACTGAGGAGAAGAGTGAGGGATGATGGCAGGGGGAACAGAGAGACGGGAAGGGGATGGGATGATAGGGTAGGGTGCTTTGTCGGTTGGCCGAACGCCTTTCGGTTAAGGCAAATGATTGTTTGGTATAAATCTGCCCAGAGGATAGAGCCTGAGAAGATAGAGTGCAAGCGGATAACGCCCAAGAGTATTGGGCCCAAGAGTATTGGGCCCAAGAGTATTGGGCCCGAGAGTATTGGGCCCAAGAGTATTGGGCCCGAGAGTATTGAGCCCAAGAGTATTGGGCCCAAGAGTAGAGGGCCCGAGAGTAGAGGGCCCGAGAGTAGAGGGCCCGAGAGTATTGGGCCCGAGAGTAGAGGGCCCGAGAGTAGAGGGCCCGAGAGTAGAGGGCCCGGGAGTAGAGGGCCCGAGAGTAGAGGGCCCGAGAGTAGAGGGCCCGAGAGTATAGGTTCATGAACACCCGGCACCTGAACATCCCTGCTGTTCATGAACACCAGTTGGCTGGTGTTCTTTTGTTTACCCCAAAGGAGTGCTGCCCGGGTACCCTCGACGGAGGTGACTCAAAAAGCCAACTCGAAATTCAACCAAGACCGCAAAGTGTCAGCTCAACCAAGACCGCAAATGCTCAATACAGAGAAACATGCGGCACGAACAGATACTCCAAGTTCACAAGTGTTGAAAGGGCTGCCGGGATGGATCCAGTGAGCTTGTTGTCACCCAGGCTCCTGCTTATCACGAATAAGTTTGGGGAATAAAATGACACTGTAAGAGGGGGGGCGTGGAACCATGCTAGTATAGAATTCCAGTAGTAAGATGAGGCCACATTGCACCAGCCCAGGGCTTACTGATTGACCAGAGATAGAGGATCTAAGTTGAGTCAGCCGAGCATAGGCTTGAGGTAAGGAAGGAATAGAAGTTCCATTCAAATATTTAAGCGTCAGGTTGGGGTTAATTGCACTTTAAAAATCGTTGGATGCAGATTGAGGTGACTGCTGCAAAATCATGAGCTTCGTCAGAAGCCCGAAACAGGGATGCCCAAGGATGCCTCATGTAACATCCCAGGAAACTTTAGGTGCTTTCAACAGAGCTTACAGGTATCTCAAGTGCACGAGCTGTCCAATAGCAGATGGAATAGATCCTTCTAGCCCAATAGATTTGAGAATTCTGAAAAAAAAAGGGGGAAGGGGGGAGGAGGAGGGAAGAGGGGAGGGCGAGGATGGGAAGTGGGTTAATAGAAGGGGGGGGGGGGGGGGGGAGGGGGGAGGGATTGGTGCAATGACTTCAAGCTGGAGTAGAGGAAAAACGGAAGGGCAGCAACATAATGAGAACGATATGATATGAGTTTGGAAACAAAGGAGACAGAGTCTTAGAGGCGTGCAATCGGAGTATTGGAGGAGGAATGAGCAAGCATAGCTCTCTTGTGGTGCCACGTCAGCACTCACAAAGCTCCCACCATCCCTTCGGAGTCGCAGTTCAGCCCCTCGGCGCGCAAGCAGTCAGCGTGCACAAGGTTGGGCCATCCGCTAAAGTTGTGACCCCATTCGCGCTCGCACTCTAGCAGCGGGGGAACTGGTGAAAATCAGGGGAGATTACCAAGGGAAGAGCCCCGCCTGAAATATTTCAAGGCGAAGGAAAGCCTGATTTCATACATAATTCTGTTTGTTTATTTTTCCTGTAGCTGTCTAACAAATTTAAATGAAGGTAAATGTAGATAATTTTGGAACCTCTTGTTACAATCTTCTCATGCGTTTTGTAAGGAACTACAAATCATTTCTGTAGGCTCTCAATATCGGAGATTTTCAGAGGTTCTCATGTCAGTTGGGTTCGGCCTACTACTATTTCGGCCGGAACCACTCCCGAGGCGCCACCGCACCATTTACCACCTTTCCGAGCCTCGTTTTCCCCAAGGTCCTCGCCTAGCTCGTTCTTGCCTAATTCACCCTCGTGTTAGACATTTCAGAGTACGTTATTAGTTCATGAAACCCGCGCACTCATAACACCTGTCTTGACTACGATTCCGACGATAAAGGATCCTAAAACCGGGGTTCCAAGAGTTTCGAAGTTAGGAAGGTTGCTTGGGGGAAGGGACGTGAGTGGCGCGCGAACCAGGGTGGTGTCGAGTTTTGTGGTTGCGGATCGCAGAGCCTGAGTACCTCGCATCCGTAACCAGATCTTGAATGCAACTGTAGGAATTCATTCGCAACAATTTCGGACGGCCTTCGAAATTGTGAGCGAAATTGTCACTGCTATCGTTCTCGTCAGTACAGCAATTTCGCTTGACGAAATTTGTTTCGACAGTTTGCGAAGCGAGCGAGCATCTACTCGGTCACACCCAACCAAAGTTAGGAAGGTTGAGGCACTTTTGGGCTGTTTGGGACTCCGGTGGGTAAGACAATTCAACCACAAATCTGAACTAAACCTCCCGCATCCTCACCTTGAGATGGGTCAAATCTCTGCTGCCCGACACAGGGACTACCAAGAAGGCTATGAAAACCGACCTCCACAACCACCAGCATGATAAGTTGGGAAAAACGGCCATGCATTGAAATATGTGAATCTAAGCCCATTGTTGCATCTCGACGGATATTGCTGTTAATATGTACAGTTCCACTTCTGCTGGCGCTGGCTTTAGTATTGCTGTTTATGCACGGTACAGGTATAATCGCTCTATCCGCGGCTGTCCGATGTTCGCGAACGCGTTGCGATTCGCGAAAGCGAAGACGTCTGTACACGTACGAAAGAAATCTCCTACCGCAAAGCTAGAGGTCCGAGGTTGTATGCCTCTACTTCACTCTAACAGAGCTTGAGATTTGAAGGACTGAACGCTCCCATCACCCGACATGACAAACGCATGAACACAGAAGACGGGAGACGTCACGGCCTCACAATCACGATTTTGCCATGTTCGCTACCTTACCGTCTCCCCCCGGATATAAGCGCCACCCTAGGATAAGCGCCTGGCGCTTCTAATTGGCATATGGCGCTTATATCCCCTCCTCGATTATAAGCGCACCCCTTGAAAAAACTTGTTTTATTATAAGCGCACGTAAACTTTAAAATTTGAAATGTGTTCAAAAAGCTGTAACGATTTTTACTTTAGCAGGCGGATATGTTGCAGATTCGGTTCCCTTCACATTCGGACCTTGCACTGGATGCGGGTCCAGTCAGCAGGACCTGTCAGGAGCTGGATGTGAGTCAGATTGGGTGTATCTCCCAGCGCGCGCGAGAATTTCACAGACGATCCCATGTAACTTCGACTCGATTGAAAAGGCAAGCACGAGACCTACAGTTTGGTGTTAAAAGATATAAAAAAATGTGTATGTCATTTTATAAACGCCGGCGCTTATAAATTTACTCGATTATAAGCCCACCCCCATGAAAAAACCTGTTTTATTATTGCCCCCCATGGGGGTATATCCGGGGGGATACGGTATGCTTCCTGTCGCGCTTCAAAGATTGCCTACGCAATGACTCATTCGTGCATGCCGCCAGTGAAAAGAGGTTCAAGGTCAAAAAATGAATCAATTGGACAGTTGAGTTCAAGAAGCAGTACGGTAGTAACATGATGGGGAACACTGAATTACGTGCAAGGAAGTGGTAAAAGCACACGAGAGGGGAAATCTTGGTGCAGAAGCGCGGTTCTTGAACTGCGTGAAATGGTGAGGTTACGCTGGCTCGCTGGCTCCCTGGTGAAATGGAGTGTCGGCACGGCAACACCTGTGGAAATGCTCTCTCCTCTACCTTCACCTTCCCTCACCTTTCATCTCGACCTGAAACGCCAGCTCAAAAAACGAAGGAACAAATGCGTGGGTTGCCATTTCACGAGGAAAAGGTGCAGAAGAGGGGATATTTGGAGGATGCGGTAGAAGATCTACAATTTGCTTGCAGTCACTGGAGCAAATCGGCCTGCTGTTCTGTGGGGTGGAGTACGTGCGACAAGGAGAGCAGCGTATTGCACTCCCTAGCCAATCCTCTTCCGCTGACATTTGTACGCCATGGAAGCACATTCGCTTTCAGCGGAACACCTTTAAGTTTGAGTAAGTGTCGCACCAGTAGAAACCAGTTGCCTAAAAACGGATTCCATTCCATATACCCAAGGCTAATGAGTGACTAGTGAGTGGCCCTTTTTTGCACGTCTGACAGAAACCACCACAAGCCAAAGCTACCACCCCTCATCAGTGCTAAGCCAGTAACGAATCTGGATTCACGGTTTTCATTATTGAAAGCTTAGCACAAGCAACTGTTATGGTGGGCCTGCATTCTTCACGATCCAAGGATGCTCTGGAAAATCGGGCAGGGAGAGAAAGAGCGACAAGACAAATATGAAAGCATGACAGGGCTGCTGGAGTGGCAGGAAAAAAACAAACATCCACAACCAAGGCAACACCACAAAGTCTCAAAAAGCAGCGTTCCTTTCCTGAGCAAAGACCAAACTCACCCAGAATCTCTTCAATCGTGATGCGCTTTTTAGGGTTCCGGTTGAGCATCTGGCGAACAAGGTCCTTTGCGTCCTCCGAGATATTGGGCCACGGCGGGCGAACGAGGTTGAGCGTGGCCTCTTTGATCGCCTCAAAGATAGCCTCATTCGTGGTGCCCCAGAAGGGCGGCAGGCCGCATAGCAGGATGTAGAGCACCACCCCCGCGCTCCAGATGTCCGCCTCAGGGCCGTATTTTTCGGCTAAAACCTCGGGAGCAAGGTAGTACGGACTCCCTGCCATGTCTGTGCACGGTTTGCCTGGGGGAAAAGAGGGGGGTGTGGGTGGGGGGGTGCAGTGGGGGGTTGAGGGAGGGAGGGAGGGAGGGAGGGGATGAGAGGGAGAGCCTCACAGCAGGCCGCAGAGCAGGACCTAGAGCACCAACCCCGCGCTCCAGATGTCCGCCCCCGGGCCGTACTTCTCTGCAAGAACTTCTAGTGCTAGGTAGTAGGGGCTGCCTGCCATGTCCGTGCACAGCTTGCCTGGAGGACAGGGTAAGGGAGGGAGGGGATGGAGGGCGGCAGGCGGCACAGCGGGATGTAGAGCACCACGCCCGCACCTAAGTGGCGAAATACGCGTATAGCGTATATACGCATGCGTTTATACGCTATACGCTAAGGTCCCGAATCCAGGAATACGCTTTTTCGGGCAGGGTAAAAAAAACCCGGGCAGGGTGAAAAAAACACCCTAGGTATAGTTCACAGGGGCGATTCACGGAGGTTGTGTCTCAGGTTCATTTTTTCCCCTATGACGCGAAATGCTTAAAGACTTCGTGCTCAACATCGGGAAGTTACTTCCCTAGTCTCACAAAGAGGACGTGCCCTATCGTTATCTTGCGTGGGATCGGGTGGCGGGTTGGGAACAGTAGACATTGATTGCGTTTTGGACTAGGAGTGAGTGACTAGGTGAGTACGACGAAGTAGACCGGACGAGAAACGATGTGTTGGAGGGGGCGTAGTGGAAAGGTTGGAGTTCGTAGATTGGGTTCGGTTCCAAGAGGTGGAACCCTGAAATTCGAAATTGCAACTCCAACCTGAATCCAAACATTGAAGTGACATTCCCGCTACCATAGATCTCCGATGCGCATTTCGACCACCGCGAAATGATCGCCGTGAAAAACGGCAGATTTCTTTATATTCCAGAAAATTTTCACCTTGGGCTGCCCAGAAAAAAACTCCCGAGCGTATTGCGTATTTGCTAGCGTATTGCGTTTTGCATGTATACGCAAGCGGACAAACGCTATACGCTTAAAGGCAAAAGCGTATTTCACCACTTAGGCCCGCACTCCAGATGTCCGCCTCTGGGCCGTACTTTTCAGCCAACGTAGCTGAATTGAGTCGACTCAAAAGCAATGCCAGGGTCCATCCGCGTGTTGGAGGAGTTGCATTTGAGAATTCTCAACAGCAACTCCAACATAGCTGATCTGATCCATCGGTGTCTACAGCATGGTCAGTTATGCACACAAACACACGATCATGCTCACACACGTAAGCACGCATGCACACACACACACACACACACACACACACACACACACAAAAACACACACACACACACACACTCACTCACACACACACACACACACACACTCACTCACTCACGCATACACCCGCTCACCTCGTTGGAAGAAGGTGGCAACACCAAAGTCAATCACTTTCAGCTCCGTGTCCGACTCCTTGCTGTTGAGAAAAATATTCTCGGGCTTTAAGTTGACCCCAGGTCGTGGCAGTGCTGCAGCACGCCCATCACCGTGTGCAGCACCCGTGCACCAGCTTGAACACACAGGCTCACACCCACTTGAACACATACGCACGCATCCACTTGAACGCACACACACACTCACTCGAACCCTCTCACACACACACACCCTCTCACCTCGTTGGAAGAAGGTGGCAACGCCAAAGTCAATCACTTTCAGCTCCGTGTCCGACTCCTTGCTGTTAAGCAGAATGTTCTCGGGCTTTAAGTCGCGGTGCATGACGCCCAGCTCGTGGCAGTGCTGCAGCACGCCCATCACCGTGCGCAGCACCCGCGCGCCCTCCGCCTCGCTGAACTTGCCCTTGGCTTTAATGCGGTCAAACAGCTCCCCGCCCTCACACAGCTCCATCACCAGATGCACGTCCTGAGATTGGGAAAGGTAGTATGGGGGGGTGTGGGGGGGGAAGCGGGGGTTGTGGCAGGGGAGGAGACAGGGAGCAGATGGTGGTAGGGAGTGAGATGGAAGTTGGCCCCTCTGCCTCGCTGAACTTGCCCTTGGCTTTAATTTGGTCAAACAGCTCCCCGCCCTCACACAGCTCCATCACCAGATGCACGTCCTGAAAGAGAAAGAGGAAGGGAATGAGGGGAGGAGGTAGGGCGTGGGATGAAGGCTGGTCCCATGGTTCTGCCTTAATGCGGTCGAACAGAGAGCTCTCCCACCTCACACAGCTCCATCACCAGAAGCACGTCCTGAGGGGCGAGTGGGAGGGTAGAGGCGGAGGGAGAAAACGGGGGAGGGAAGGAAGGGAAACGAATGAGGGAAGGTTGAAGAAACGGGAGAAGCCTTGGGGTTATTTTCCCCTTCTTTTGAGTCGACTCAAATGAAGAAACGGGAGAAGCCTTGGGGTTATTTTCCCCTTCTTCTTTTGAGTCGACTCAAATGAAGAAACGGGAGAAGCCTTGGGGTTATTTTCCCCTTCTTCTCTCTGTCTCTCCGTCCGTCCCACTCCCAGGGCCATCTGCTCCCACATTCCCTTCACTCAGCTTGACCACGCCTGAGTGGCCCTGCAACATGTGTGTGCTCAAAGTCTAGTGTTTCTTTATCAATTACAACAAGCTGCAAGCTATCACCGCACACATGCGTTCTCATGTTTTGAGTCGGCTCAAAATACAACTCAGTTACTACAATCTACAAGCTGTCGTCACCACGCATATGCGTTCTCAAACATGCTCCTTAGGTCTGTTTACCACTGTCCGAGTGGACCTGCACTGCAGCATGCATGGGCTTTCAATGTGTTTATTGCCATTGTTCCCAAACCCGATCACCCCTCGCCTCGCCCACCCACCTGTGCATCTTTAAACGTGCTCCGGAGGTTAACCACTGGATGGCCCTGCAGCAGAAGTTTGTAATCCTTGTGTTGTGTGCATTATCCCCACAACGACACCTTGCCCCCACCCACCTGTGCGTCCTCAAACGTGCTCCGGAGGTTAACCACGTCTGGGTGGCCCTGTAGCATCTGTGCGTTTAAGATGGGCTGTGTGCTTCTAGACCAGACCCCAACCAACCACCCCATGCATGCACCGCACCTGTGCATCTTCAAACGTGCTGCGGAGGTTAACCACGTCTGGGTGGCCCTGCAGCATCTCCATCACCGCCACCTCCCTGCGCACGTCCTCAATGTCTTGCTGGCACTGCAGTGGGAATAGCAAGAAGAGAGAGCAGCAAAGAACGAGCTTTAGGTCTAACATGGATCATATGCTACAAGTATTTGACTCCATCACCGCCACCTCCCTGCGCACGTCCTCTATGTCTTGCTGGCACTGCAGTGGGCATTACACGAAGGGAGAGTAACAAAGGGGTGGAAATGAAAAACGGGTGGAAGTGGCTGAGATGTTATAGGCCCTTTCTCCATCACTGCCACCTCCTTCTGCGCACGTCCTCTATGTCTTGCTCGCGCTGCAGTGGGCAAGAGACGGAAGGATAGAGGCAGAGGATTAAAGGTACCTCGCTTAGGGATAACGGGGATTGATTTAGGGGGATTGATTTAGGGGGGTAGATAAGGGAGATGGGTAAGGGGGATAGATACGCCGCATACCCCTCTCTCTCTCTCCCATAACCCATTGCTGTTACAACCGACCATGTACCTGTGGCATCTCTCCACTGGTCCCATCCCATACGGTCATACCTGCACCATCCCTATGCTACCCCCGCACCGCACACCTGCAGCAACATTTCCCCACTACCCCCAAGCCACGAATTCCGTACGAGCAGCAGCATTCCAGCACCCTCCCAAACCCATACCTGCACTGCAGCATCCCTGCAACTTGCACCCACATACCTGCAGCATCCCTCACTTACATCTTGCACTCATGTCATACCTGCAGCATGCCTTTGCTGATTGTCTTGCATGCGAGCCTCTCCCCCGTCACCCGATCCACACAGGCTCGGATCACCCCGAACCTGCCCCGGCCCAGCTCGTTCTTATCCACCTTATAAGACTCCCTGACATCCGCAAAAGGCCGCTTCAGAATATTCACCAGCACCTGCTGCAGCGCCGCCTGTCCCCCATCCCCAGCCTTTTCCGCCTGCCCGCCCGCCGCTGCTTCTTTTCGGGCTGCCCGAATCACCTCCCGGTTTTTCCTGGTCAGTCTGGCCTGCATACCCTCAGGTGTGACAGGTCTCCTCTCAGGTGTCATAGGCCGATTCCCCCCTCTCCGCTCCCGCTCAGGCGTTTTCTGCCTTCCGCCAAAGGGGGACAGCATCCCCCCGCCCATGCGCGGAGTCCGCCTCCCCTCCCCCGTCCCCCCGTCCTCCGCGTCCGCCCCTGCGGGCAGCTGCAGCGCTGCCACTTCCGCCACTAGCTTCTCCTTCTCCGCGCGCCTGCGTTCCTTCTCCATCCGCCTCCTCTCCTCCCTCTCCCTCGTTTCCCTCTCAAGCCGTTTCAGCTCCTCTGCAAGCTTGCGCCTCTCCTCCCTCTCTCTTTCTAACTCTAACGCTAATCGTCGGTGCTCTTCTCTCATAATATCCTCCTCCCGCCGCCTATACCCCCTCCGCGGCTCCCTCTCCCCCCGCCCCCCGGTCCCCATCCGCCCGTATCCGCCATCCTCATCGTCGAAATCCTCGTCAAAACGCATCCTCGCCGTCCATTTGGCTCCCCTCGGGGACGTCCTCGCGCATCCTGCGTGCGCGCTCCGCGCGCCTGCGCCTGCGCTCCTTCTCCTCAATCAACCGCAACTCCTCCTCCTCCTCCTCGTCATCGTATTCCCCCTCTGCCCCCGGACCCGCCACCGTTCTCGATCGCATTGCACCAGTGTACCGAGTGCCCCTGTGCCCCCCATATCCCCCCGCCTCCTCCTCCTCATCCGCCAATTCGGACGCGGAGCGCGGAACCCCCTTCTCCCCCCGCTCCTTAGAAAGCATGCCCGCCAGCGGAGTTCCCTCAGTGGTCGAAGCGGAACGGGGGACCCCCGCCCTCCGCCCATGCACATCCGCCGTTTTCGGACGGCTTAGCCCCTCCCCCGCAAACCCCATTCGCCCCGCCATCTCCATCCCCGTCGGCGTCCGCGGGCGCGCCCCCCCTTCCCCGTGTTCCACCGCACTCCGCCTACCGGCTGCGCTTCGCAGCCTTCCCGAGGGGCTAGGCGCGGGCATTTCCCCCCCCGCTCCGCTGCTCCGCGAGGGCGGGCGCGGGAAGAGCGCGGAGCCGGGGTCCCCCGCATCAGAGGCGTGAGAGCTCTGGCGGGACGGCGGGCGGTGCGGATCTCTTTCCCCCGGCGGCCTCCGCCTAAGCGGGGACCGCATTGGCCCGCCCTCGTCCGCGTATCTCGAGCGCATGCGCGGGGGGGGCGTGCGGGGAGTGTGTTCAAACCCGCCGTCCCCCCGCTCGCGCATGCTCCCCGCGCGCCTGCCCATGTCGTCTTCGTCCCCCAACGCCCTGCGCCGGGGCCGCCTCTCCCCCTCCTCGTACGCGATATCGTCGTCTCCGTGTTTTGGATGGTACCGTCGCACGGACGACGACGTTGACGACATGCTTTCGCGATCCGGCGAAATCGGCCGCCCGCCACCGCTGCCCGCCCCACCTGCCGCCCCTCCGGCCCCGCCGAGCGCAATTTTAGCCTCGGACGCGCTAGAAGCAGACCGGTTAATCTTACTATCCGGGTCATCGCCTGCGTTGTACACTTGCACCGATCTGCACCGTCGCGCAAACCGCATGTTTGCGGGAACCCGCTCCCCCCCCCCTGCGCCTGCTCCCCCCGCCCCCGCGCCCGCGCCCCCTTCTTGAATAGACTCCTCCACCCACCTACTCACAGAACGCCCCCTAGAAGGGGACATTATTTCCTCCGCGTCTTCCGCCAGCGGGGACTGCAAGCGCTCCCGCGCGCTCCCCCCGAATCCCCCTCCCGCTGCGCGCGCGGCGGAGTGCGATTTGGGGATCCCGCGCGGAGAACCAACGGGTCTGTCCCCACCCATCCGCGGAGAGACAAGCGTTCCGCCATCCTCCCCACCCATCCCCCCGAGACCGGACGAACGCATTCTCCGCCCCCCGCTGGTCGCTGGCCGAGCTGCGCCGCCAGATTCTCGCAACCAATCAGGAGGCCGGCCAGCACCGGCGGTCGACAGGTCATCTGCGCCTGAATTATCGCGACGCATTCGCCTCCCTCCTGACGTAGACGGCCGTGCGCCTCCGTAGTCGTCGACTGCGTGGCGGCCGCGCTCAGGGCGGGGGGATTTCTCGCGGCGCAATACCCCGTTAATCGACCTCCCTCCGCTCCCGCGCTCCCGCTCGTCGTCATAATCGTCCAATCCAAGGCCGCGACTCGACCTAGACACGCGCCGCCTCTCTCCTTCCGCCATAGATATTTCTCTCCTGCTTAAACGGCTGCTCTCTTTCCCAAGCTCGCTACTGCTTTTCCCAGCGCCTAAAGTAGCGTTTAACTCCGCCCACGCATCGCGGTAAGCGGAGGGTTTCTTAGGAGGGAGCTCGTAACCTTGCGAATCGTCAGCTGTGCTACTAAGCGGGGTGCTGTCAGGAGACGGTAAACGGCCTGACGCTATAACGGGGTCCGCACGTCCTGATGCTATAACGGGGTCGGCTATCTGTAGTATCGCTACGCCACCAGCTCCTCCTCCCCTGCCGTTAGAGTCCTCCGCACCACCGACGCCCATGATAGGCGGACCATTATCCGCACATGACACGTCATCAAGACATGACACTGAGAATATGATTAAAAAGAAAGGTGTGCACCTGCGAACTCCTCGTACGTGTAAACTAACAGGTGTGAAGTAACAGGTATAGCTTGGAATACAGAATAACACGTATTTTATACACTAAAGATCGCCTAATAAATTTAACGAAAGCCGCTGATCCGCGTAACCCTAATACCAGTGATTAGCATAGCAAAGAGCTCGATGCCTGTGCCCAATGCAAGCCACGTTAGTTAGACCCTAAACTTCACAGAACAATCGGATTAGGTTTCAGAGGCTCGAGGAAATTTAAACTGCTACTGCTGGTTGGGCTGTTTCTAAGAATGGCTCCTGTTGCGACAAGTGTGGGATTGCCGAACAGAGGCACCAACTCAACTACTGTCGCTTCTGTGGCGAAGCCTGCACGGGCTTGTGTTGTGCAACTAATGAAGCTCTCCTAGCTCTGATGTCCCAGGCCCCCATTCTTGCGATGCGATACGGTTTAATGCATTCTATATTGTCTGTAAACGATATTGCGTGTTCTAGTACGTTTCGAGGGAAAACTGGAAGTTACTGGCCCGGCTGGTTGGTTTGAGGAGCGCTCTGGCTGGGGAAACGGATGTCATCGCTGTTTCAACAGCCGTGTGCTGGACTGACCCAACCAACCAGACGAACCTCGATATTGTCGGGCGGGCTGACCCTCTCACAAAGTGGGAACATCCCATCGACGACCTCGATACTGTCGCAGTCACTTCGATATTGCGGAAATTATCAATTTCGCGCGCATCTACATTTCGTGTGCTGCTGTTTGTTGATTCAAGTAGCTGCAACAATGTTGGATCAGTTTCCCGCCAAACCAACAAATCTCTGGCCCGTCTGAAAGCCAGCGAAGGGGTGTGTGCTCTGCTGATTTACAGCGGGGACAACGCCAAAGCCAACCATCCACAAGAGCATCGTGGAACTCACTGACTGGCAGCGCTCGTTCTCGAATTCCATTTCTTTACAACCGACCTGTTGAGCTGTGAAACACCGCCATGTCCCAGGAATGAGAGAGTTGTGCTGTCGCGTTGTTGTTTCCCTGCTGCTTTGGTTCGAGGACAATCTGGGAAAAACCCCTGTTGCGTGAATACCAACGATGTTTGGTCTAGGCCCATCCCGTCGTGTAGCGACGCCGCAAGTGCCGTCAGAAGATGAACTCCTTAGGCTTGCAGATGAAGCGACGGCAACTGCGGCGAGAAAAGCAGAGACCCTGGCTATGGTAAAGGAAGGAGCAGTGGCGCAGATGCAGGCAGAGGGGCAGCGTCTCGATGCAGATGCCTGGATGTTTGAAGCTCCACGATTCAACCCACGAGCGCTTGCATGATACGTAGGATCGGCGCACCTAATGGGCAATTTAGACGCAGGCGAGGACTCCCCCTCACCTGCTCCTCCCATCCCCTCACAATCACTGTAACCGCCAATTCGTCGCCTGTTTTATTATGACCACCTATTCGAGTTCCATCGGCTCCCCTTCAACTGACACTTGGTTGATAGTGAAGTTATGGCGCCTGGTTGCTGCATATGTGGCAAGGAACCCTTATATTACTCCAGCATTAGAAGAATCTCATCCCACAGCTGCTTTTAGAACACAATAAGATCCGCTCTGTTCTTGAATGGTGCTTTTGACGCTGTCGCTCCTGACGTACAAATGTAAATATCCATCATACTAGCATGAAAGGGCAGAGGGAGAAATGTGTTGTCTTAACTGTGTATAATCTACGTATTGGTACATGTATCAAATGTTCCGCTAAAGACTACCTTACCTGTATCACTTTTAAGATCCTACTTCCTGGGACTATCTATAATGTCCATGATTTCCTGGATGTCACCAATGAGCATTGGACTCCACTTGCTCTCAGAAGCTTCCCCCAATAAAGTTAGACCACAGTAAAGCCACAGTGACGACGAGAAGCACTGACCAAACAATGACAATTGTGGGAACACGATCCCTCTTCCCAAGCAGACCCTTGGCGAATGGGTAAAGATGGACAAGGACCCAGAAGCTGAACACTAGCTTGCCAGCAAGCTTCCCTGCAAAGCATATCCATGCACACAGGCACATCATAGAGGTTGGCGTGTCAGTGGACCATGACGATTGACAAGTGAGTGAGGGAGTGGGAGAGAGTGACGTAGGGAATGAGTGAGAGCAGGGCACACGAGGGGAGGAAGGAGTGCAAGATTTTGGCAAGAAATGTCAAAGCACAAACGGCAAAGAGATGGAGCAGATTAGCACTTACCCCATTCCTGTGACCCATCTGAGCTCATCGCTCGTCCAACCCCCACAATAATGCCCAGAATGTTGAAAAGGCCAATGAAGCACCCAGGAAGGAGCAGCCAGGAAAACTTGAAAGTATGTAGCTCATCCACTTCTCCTTCATCTCCACCTTTTGACGTCAATGTAAAGCTGATCTCCAACCCAGCAATAACTTTCAACAAACCCTGTGGAGAAATAGAGACAAAGAGTTAGGCGATCGGCGTGGAGAACCACTAGCAGATGGGCAAGCCAGCTGCTACTGGCAAAAGATCAAAGAAAGTTAGTTGTTTAAGTTCTTCTCTTGCCTGCACAACGGCTGCAAAATGAGAGCTTATCCCAGCAATCAACCAAAACTGTTCGTTCCTCCACCATGCTTCAAAAGAAACTTTGCTCCACTTCAGCTCCAGCACAGAGGATGCCAGAAACGACAGGATGAGTACAGCAAACCAGATGACTGCATAGCGATCCAGCTGCAAGAGAAGAAGAACAACCAGGTCAACAGCAGAGAAAGTTAAAACTCCAAACCAATCAGGAGCACAAGACAAGCATTGTCAGCAGTGGCGCCCAGTCAGCAGCGGTCAGAGGAACCCAAGATTTTGTGACACCAAGTCCTCACCGTTGGGACAAAGAAAAAGTCGGTAAGCAGGGCAAGAGGTGGCAGAAGACAGTACGAGAATATTGCCACACTAGTAAATGGATAGAATGCGTTGTTTGCATACCTGCACCATTCAAAAGAAAAATATCGTCAGCCAAAAAAGTCAGACCATCATGTTGTCAAGCAAGCCAACCACTCACGCTATCCTTTGACGGAGTTTCAGTTTAGTGCCCCACTGAGACCATAATGGATTTCTTCCACTGAAGAAGATCTCTACAGCTCCTGTTGCCCATCGCTCAACTTGGTGCAGACGATCTGTCATGTTGAGTGGAGCAGACCCCTTGAATGCAGCACGGTCTGGATCACAATAAGCAGAACGCCATCCTCGTGTATGAATTTTCATCCCTGTAAGAATGTCCTCAGTGACTGAGCCATACATCCAGCCCACAGTCTTGCCCCAATCCGTGTTGGCTTCATAGTCACAGCTGATGGTAAGGACTACATCACTAAGCATAGATCTTGGGCTTAAAGGCTGCTCCTCAACATCTCCCGACAGGTTCTCATCACCAGTTGCGGTGTTGACGAAATGGGCACAAGCACCCAGCCTTGCTGGGAGCTTGGGTTTCTTCACCAGTTGAGTGGAATCTGTTATGAGTACAGTAAAGAGAATGTCATCAGTGAACAGAATGCGCAAGAAAAACCACTTGCCAATGACAAAATGTGGCATACCCTGATCATTTGATTCATGTCCATCCAATGAATCTTCCGGTGTCTTTCGGGGAAGGCAGCAGCAGCACAGGTAGCTCCACAGACCGTTCTTGGCTTTCTTTGACATGCCAACCTTACTTGGATTTGGAGAGGGAAAATAACCATAGAGAGCCTGAAAGAATATAGGGAGGTTATTGTTTCTGTGACGTACAATTTGATGCACTCCAAAGGAAGCAGATCACTGATTACAGAGTCACTTACACGGCGACGAAAAAAACATCCTGTTCCAACATACACAGGCCCTTGCTGCCCATCGAGGCCTTTCATGTTGATGTCGAAGAACACTGTGTTATGGTTTGCATAACGATCATTCCTGTCAATTCCATCAAAACGCTGGGGGAACTGCACGAAGCCTGTAGTGTAACCTTGCATGGGATCCAAGAAGAAGCAAAGCGCCTGCAGGACATCAAACATATCAGTTTCCTTGGTCGAAAAGATAGCAGTTCAGCAGACATCACGACATACATCGCGAATAGCATCAGCATTGTTGATGTAGTGATCGCAGTCCAAGTTCATCAGCACAGCACCGTTAGTGATTAATCCGCTGGCTCTCAAGAGAGCATTCATCGCTCCTGCTTTCTTGTTGTGATCATGTCCAGGCCTCTTCTCTCGTGAGACATAGATGAGAGGTGGAAGAACTCCTCCCTCAAAGTCACGAACGTCTCCATCAGGGTGTAGAAATACCTGGTATGAAATGGATGATAATGGCATGTCAATTGTGGCTTAAGAAGAAAGCGGTCGGGATGGTAGGAGGGTGGATAGGAAAAAGAAAATGTTCCCGTACCTGGATAATCCCATCGTGATCACGCCTATTGTTGCCTGGCCAGGGTGTTCCATCCTCCAGCATCCAGCCTTCCTCCGGGGGATAACGGCTCTCAGCAACCAATGCATTCATGCGAACTTTGAACTCCTCATATTCTCTCTGCGATGGAATTATAACATGATGAAGATTGGAAGCTACCATCATGGTTCCTGAATGAGCGTATCATACCTTCACTTTGCGCCGAGTCTTGACAAAATCAGGATGCACTTTGTTCTTCAGAAAGTCCACGTTCTGGCTGAAGTACGCATCTGGGGACCTTGGCTCAATGCTATGCTTCTTGCAAAAAGGAACCCAAAGTCGTGCAAATCCAGCAGTCTCGGCCATGGCATCAAACATCAGCTTAGATGCCCCATCATCGGACAAGTAACAGGCAATTCTGCTCATGAAGAAAGAAAAGAAATGTGACCGATTGAACTTATAAAAAACAGTTATGTGCAATGGAAACCTGCCTGTCAGGTGGGTAGTTTGTCGCCAGAACAGAAAGAATTGTGTTTGCTGTGACCAGAGGTGGCTCCTTGGTGGCATCAGCAGTCGTGATAAAAACGTCCAACTGCGGGAGCGTTTCGCCTCCGTCATCATACCTACAAATAAGCAAGTTAGAACCATTTCTTCAGCCAATGACAAGCTTACTTAACAGATAATTTACACTCACACAGCTTTCAGTCTGTCTTTGTACGTCTCTCTCTTGACAGGAGTCAACTTAGGAAGTGTGTCGAGCACCCACGAAACAGCAAACCTGCAAGCTTGAAGAAACAGATTAGCTTAAAACCTCTTCTCACAAACCACGAAGTGTTGCAGCTAATGAAACCGTTCGCACCATATCTCACAAATGACAGACATCAGCCAGAGCCAATATCCTGTCTCTGTGGGGTTGGCAACCCGATACTGAAGAAATCCAAGGATTGAACAAAGACGAATGAAAAGAACAATCCTGCATAGTAATACACTTTCATCTGTCAAGATGACGAAGAAAAAGAGGGAAACGGAAGAAAAAATAAATATCGTTTGCAGTATGTACACACCTGTAAGGGCCGATTATGCTACCAGGATAGCTCAACTTTCTTGCCAAGCTCTTCTTCTTCCAATCAGCTCTGGAGAGGGTATAACACGATTAATCATATGTCCTGTAATTTTAGCATCAAGCGCTAGCACAAGCCACGTACATCGGAACAGCTCGATCAGGTGCCTTTATGGGTGGCTGCTCCCAAGCAACACTGCCATATCCATACTGAGGCTGACTGGTCTGAACGATGCTGTTATCTTGATGAAGAGGAACCAGGTTTTTTTCTCCCTGAACCTGCAGACGTAAGAAAGAGGTGGTTTCAGCTATATTTCTTTCAAATGAGAAAACCGCAAAAAAAAATGCACATGCATACCTGAGGTCCCGATTGTTCAATCTCATTAATGCTTTGCAGCTGCTTTGACTCTGTTCTTGCAAGCCTCGACGGAGAGGAAGTGCCATCAGCCCGAGGTGTTTCATTAAGCATGGCTTGCATTATCGCCCCTGAAAAAAAGTGGCACGGTGTTTAAAATGTCTCAAAATGCTTCACGTGTAAAACACAAGATTATATAGATGCTGCATACATTGCTCTCGGCTTCGAAGATCTCCTCCACAGCCTGGACAGCGGTTTCTTTCATACTTGTGCACATGATCCAAACAGATGGTGCACATCCTGAAGGAACACTCGCATGGTGTGTACTCTTCATCCGCTGACACGGCATCACCACACATATTGCAGACAGCTTGCTTTATCTGCGGGCCTGCGTTCTGAAATACTTGTTTAGTGCAAAGCTCCTGAGATAAAAACGGACAGCTTAGCTTACCATCAAACGTGTAACACTTCGAATGCCATTTAAATTCTTGTCTCCATGAGCTAAGGAGCAAAGCAATCCCTGGGTCTGGGTACCCACTGCACTGTTGCTCCTTTCCTGCATGAAGTGTCATTAGCGACTGTGATCACACAAAACGCGTAGACTTTGTACAGTAACTTACCACTTTGATACGTGCCAACCCGAGTTTCTCTTCAGGAAACACTGATGCCGCTCTTGCCTCCTTTTCCTGCAATAATTTTCGAGTAAGCATTGACGAAACATACAGCTATTACTAATCAGAATACTCACCGCATCGCGGCTTATCGCCAATGACCCTCCCCTTGATCGGCTTAAGGATGTCCTGATGGAACTTTCCGGGAGCGTTCCTGATGGTTCGCGTACTGACGTCAAGCTTTGACGATAAGTTGACTTTGTTAAGACTGCACGAGACTTACCGGTAAGGCCACCCAAGAAAGATCCACTTCCATACTTCCGAATACCAGCAGGAGAAGCATCTGGCTCCTGAACATGGTATGCTCCAACAGCCACTGACTGACTCCGTTTCAAGTCATTGTCGGCGTGTTGCCTGTCAATGAGCACACACGTGTCAGATAACTAAGAGCAAAAACTGTGACGTAATGGATATTGGAGCTAGAACGCTTACACAGGTGGAGGATGTTCAGATACGGAGGCTCCTGAGAATGTTCCTTGTTCCTGAAAAAAACTAATTTAAGGAAGGAATGTTCACGAATCCAAAAAAGGCGAAAAGGCATTGCTGATGGCTGAATACCTGTCCATCGGTTGTGCTACTAAGCCGGTTACGCATTCCATGGTCGCTAGGTCTCCTGGCCGGAGCGACGACGACATCAGGCGACTCCTCCATCCTTGGAGACTCCTAGGTACGGACACAGGAATTCATTCGTACAAGCCTTTTTGGTGATAATTGTGAACAGAAACCAGAGCGCAGTAGCGGTGCCAGAATGAATGTTGCTCCATTCGCTCTGTCAGCTGAAGGCCTTGTTCAGCAACACGCGAGGCGCATTCACGACGCGGTTGGGTTTGGTTCGGTTCAATTGCGACGCATAATACGAAAACATAACCAGTAGTACACGCAATCTAGTTGTAATAAAGGTACACAGAACCTCGACATAAGCAACTCTGCCACGTCATTGCCTCGAACTGACCTGTCCAATCCGAGGCACTTATTTGTCCCCCTCGCAATTTCGTCATCCAAAATGGAACTCCCTGAGTCCTCCCAACCACACTCCACTCCACCCAAGCCGGGCGTACACAGTTGACCAGCTAGCTGTCCCACGTTTCTTTACAACTCTGCTCCCATCAATATAGCATAGGTGGCGATTACCACGGTGAAGGCAAAAGTCTGTCTCTGTCATTAGTGTGCGTAGCGGCCCTGACTTCACTGTCGTTTCTTTCCACTCACCATCAGCGTGCAAGTTCACCACGATCATGCCTCGTCCAGCACCTTCGCCGTTTGAGAGGAAGCCACGAAGCGCAGAGGAGGAGAACCCGCTTGCTGGGCTTGGCGTTCGCGCTTCCGCATCGCCAAAGGTATCTTCGCGTGCTTATCTCCCCTTCCATGCACACGGCTTCCTTTTTCATGTAGCTGTACTTTATGTTCTCTCAATAAAGTTAGCAGCTTACACTATCTGTTTATCTCTGCGTAGGCTAAAGGGTCACCAGTTTCATCATGAGGTAGCTTTACGCGACATGCTCGTGCCTGGAATCCATTCAGCTCAGAATTATTGTCTTTCTCATGTGCAACGGATCGCTACCTACGTGCGCCTCGTTTATGAGTTACGTTTTTTTCGGTTGCAACACTGTGTTGAGCAGTCGGGAGCTGTCATGGCACCATCCTCTGGTGCTCTGTCAAGAAGACGAGCATCGCCTAATCAAAATAACGCTATGTTCGAGTTCGACCCAGAGCTCGTTGCTGCTTTTCAACGCAACATGATGGTACGTAGTAATTGTATTCATAGGTTGACTTGCGACTCTGTTTCTAAGTGATTTGGATGCAAACACGAGTCGGGTGTCCTTTTGATCCAGTAGCGTTTTTTTTTTTTTTTTTTTTTTTTTTCCACCACCACCATGGAGGAATAACAAGGTTAATAAACACACGCACGCGCGCGCACACACACACACACACACATGCTCACTCACTTACACACACACACACACACACACACACACTCACCCACGCACGCACGCACACCTCACACACACACACATACCACGCTCACACACACACACACACACACACACACACACACACACACACACACGCACACACACACACACACACACACACACACACACACACACACACACACACACACACACACACACACTTGGCTAGTTACATACGCGTATAATCCCGTTTCCTTTTCCCTCTCTGTAAGGCGCCCATCATCCACCCTCCCTTTTGACCTCATTCATGTTCCCTCCACATCTCCCCACTTCTTGTGTCTTGTCCTCCCCCAACCCCTTCCACTCTCTCCGCCACCACCTCCCACGCCTTCGCCCCTCCCCTCCTATTAATGTACACAAATTATTTACCTGTATCAGTTTCTTTCTGTAGTTGTTCTTCTAGCCTCTGATTCTTCAAGGTTTCATATTCTCATTTCCCAGTCGCCCCTTGAACTCCTCTACTGTCCCTGGTTTTCCCCGTTTTTGGTGCCTGCCATTCTGGAAATGAATGGTATGCAGTTTTTTTCGTCGTGTGTTCAGCCTAGACACCTTCCTCAGGCCCTTGCCAGCGCCAGTGGCACAGTCCATTGCACGAAGCTTTGGTTTCTTCACAAGCATCTTCACACAGTTTGTTGGTAAGTGGATGTTTCTGTGTTTATTGTTCTTAGTGGTAGATCCCAGTTTTTTGTACGGTACATATTTTTTCCCATAAAACTAAGCAAGATCAATGTTGATGAATACTTTCACTTGCTGCTGTGTCTGTCTTTTCAATTGTTGTTATCATATTTTCCCCTTTGTATTGCAGATCCGAAGGGCATCAAGAACGCACAAAAAGCAATGGGGATTCGAAAGGATGACTCTAGGATTGTTCGACGGAAAGAGTAACATTTGTTTTTTCCTTACTATGGGTCTGGCTTAGGTAATGTGAATGCTACCTGTGTTTGTTTCCTTTCCTCTTGTCCTCATCTCCAGCCTAAAGCCACAGAGGGAAGGCCATTGTAACTACCGTATGCATTAGTTTCGATTTGATTTTGTTCACCAGAAGTCAATACCATTACCACTATCACTGCTCGATACCGTATTGAATGCTTATGGGGTCCAACACTGAGTGAAAGCACACCAGCCACACGCCCTGTCACTCTTTTTTTGCGCTGGTTTTAATACGTAGATACGGTAGTGTAAGGGCGTGTCCAGCGCGTACGTTTACGGTTTGTTTACAGTTCATGACCCAAGGCGCAAAACAACATCAAATGGTTCAAAGCGATTTGCAGTTTCCACCGTTTTTAACTGTGACGCAACAAGGTCAACCGCACAGGATGAACTGTAAACGTACGCGCTGGACCCGCCCTAACTCAAGCTTTAGACCCTAGTGCAATCTGCCTGTCATCTCCATCCTGCACACTGGCACATCAGAAAACAAAGAAATCCTTTGGCATGAAACATTTGGCACAATTTGCACTGGCCTCAGAGGAACATGATCTTGGCACTCAACTCCTTGGCCAGTGCCAATTTGAGGCTATTCAAATGATCCCACAGCGATGCCTGCCCCATGCCTCCTTGGCTGTCCGCGTCAGGCAAGCTACGGGCAGTGAGAGTGGGAGCATTCTTAAAGCCAGAGCGCTGTTGTGAGAGTGAGTCTGGGGAGAAGTGCTGCAAGCAGCTGATGAGCGCAGAGATGTGGGCCTCTTTGAACGGTAGGGAGCGATTCTGAAGCACATGAGCCTGCCAGTGGAATGGGATGGAAACGGAACGGAAGGGGATAACAGGAGGGATTTTCAGGTGGCAGGAAGAAGCTGATGAAGACAGAGATGATTTTGAAGTAATCTGATTTGAGATGGACTGGAGAATGCATCGAGAGGTACACATGTATTGACTCGAAGCAAGAGTCCCTGGTGTAGCTTTTCAGATAAGCAGATGCAATCGCACTGTAGCCGAGGCAGTGGCAGAGCTCCTCCTGGGACAATAAGCCATTTACCATGCCGTATTAGGCACTAGGCATGACAGCTGACACTGGTTACGGTAACTGCCGCTGCTTACCATGAGATGAGACAGAGAGAGGAAGACGCGAGGGTAATGTGATGAGGTGTGGAGCATGGCCTGAGAGTGACAGAGAACCAACAAGAAGATAGGATACATGGAATTGAAACAACAAACGAGGCAAGAGGAAAACAATAACCATGAGATTAGATCGCTCCCCGTTCCGCCAAACAAACACCAGAACCAGCTCGTGTGATTGTCAGTGCTCCATGATAGAATTTCTTGGCTTACAGCATACGTGTTCTCACTGACCTGCACTAGCCGGTCCGCCTGGTGGCTTTGTTGGATTGGCTCGGGAGTAGCAGTAGCAGTTGGTGGCAGGAAAAAAGGGCGACACTGGGCTGTTTGATCCACCAGTCAGCTCTTTGACCAGCTCCCATACACTGTGAGGAAGGGAGAGGACAGGTGGGTGAGAGCGCATGGGTGAGTTGGGAAACGAAGGATGGGAGGAACGGTTGGGTTGAGAGGTGCACCTGTGAGCTCTTTAACGAGCTCCCATACACTGTGAGGTAGGGAGGGGATAGGTGGGCGATTGTGCATAGGTATGGTAATGGTACAAGGGCGGGCGAAGGAGAGAGGGGGGAAGGGGAGGAAAAATGGGTTGTCGGGTGCGCTTGTAAGCTCTTTGATCACCTCCCATACACTGCAAGAAAGGGAGGGGCGAAACAGATTTCCAGGTTCCCATCGGTATGTTCAAGGGTGGGAAGAGGTGGGAGGTGGTGAGAGGGAGGAGCGACAGGTTGTTTGGTGCACTTGCAAGCTCTTGGACCAGCTCCCATGCGCTACAAGGAAGAGACAGGAGCACTGGGTTTCGCATGGGTAGGGTACGGTTCAAGAATGGTGGAGAGGTGGGGGTGGGGAGAAGCAAATGACGTTGTCCGTTGCAACGTAAGCTTTTTGACCAGCTTTCATGAGCTGTGAGGAAGGGACAGGAGACGTTGACAAAAGAAAAAATGCTCACACGGATATACAGAATCTCGAGCTTGTGGGGGAATACTCGTGGCACATGAAGATATGTAATGGCAGGTCATGAAATGCGTTATAAGGCAACATTACAAATCACACACATACGCACTCACAAAGGGCAGGAAACGACTTACGAGAGCAAGTATTCAAGAGCCGAGTGACTCTGTCCGGTCGACCCACTGCTATTCCTCAGAGCATCCACGGCTGCTGCTGCTCTTGCGGTTGTGAAGCAAAGCACACACAACAAGCAGGTACCACTCACGAGAGCACGTATTCAAGAGCCGAGTGACTCTGTCCGGTCGACCCACTGCTATTCCTCAGAGCATCCAGCGCCGCTGCTGCTCTTGCTGCACCTGCTGTTGCTCCCTCTTTGGCACCACCTGAACCTGAGCCAGGTGCGCCCTGCACCAGATGCAAGCCTCCCCCTGATGGCTGGCACCAGCAGCTCGTCTGCGAGGAAAAGGACAAGCGCGTCCATAGGCGCTGCTGCTGGTGCGCCGGCCGCTGCCATCCAATAGACGCTCGCCACATGGCGCGACGTGGCGAGGCTTCTAGAGTCCCAACATGCCATTGCAGCAGACTGGAGGCGGGAGAGGGGGGCGCGGAGGGGAACGCGGATGGGGAAGGGGGGACGGGAGGGAGAACTGAGGTGTTGAGCAAGGAGACGAAGAGCCAGGCTTCTACAGTCTCAGCAGCCATAGCAGCAGACTGGAGGGGGGGGAAGGAGGATTGGGAAAGGAGGAGGGTGGGGAAAGGGGGGAGGGCGTGTTGGAGAAGGGAAGGGTATGCTGACCAGAGTCCGAAGAAGTGCAGGTGGGCATGTTGGAAAGAAACAGAAGAAGTGCTTGTTGTGCCTCACCTTTCTCCCTGCACACCCATCACCCTCACCTTGCTCCCTTCACCTATCCCCCCCACCTTTCTCCCTGCACTTCACCCATCACCCTGCAGTTCACTGACCATTCAACCCTCTCTGTCTTGCTTGCCCCCTTTCTCAAGCAAGCAAGACAGAGAGGGTTGAATGGTCAGTGAACTGCAGGGTGATGGGTGAAGTGCAGGGAGAAGGTGGGGGGGATAGGTGAAGGGAGCAAGGTGAGGGTGAAGGGTGCAGGGAGAAAGGAGAGGGTGATGGGTGTGCTGCAGACATTAATAGGTGAGGGTGATGGGTGATGGTTGTTGGCATGTCATGGTGGGTGGGTGGGAGTGACCGTAGGCACACAGCAGCACAGCACTTGCTGTATGACTGGCCAGAAGCACTTACTCGTGAGAGGAAGGCGGCAGCAGAGGGGCAGCAGGCAGGGGCGTATGAGTCGAGGAGTAAGAGGGTTTTGACGGTGCTGGTGTGTGTGGTGGTGGCCAAGACTGGCTGTGCCAGCAGCACTTGCTGTGTACTTATGGGTTAATTAGCACTTACTCGTGAGAGGAAGGCGGCAGCAGAGGGGTAGCAGGCAGGGGCGTATGAGTCGAGGAGGAAGAGTGTCTTTGAGATGCTGGTGTGTGTGGTGACTGTGACTGGCTGGCACAACAGGGCTTGCTCTATGAAGGGTTCTCTTGGTGGGCATGGGGCGAGGTAGGGGAGGGCGAGCTGGGGAGAGTGGGAGGGGGGAAGGGGGAAGCAGGTGCGGCGGGAGGAGAAGAGTGGGAACACAAAGCAGAGAGGAGAGGGGGATTAGATAATGAGAATCCCAGATTCTTGTATCTAACCATGCTAGATATATCCATGTAAATGTGTGCGCAGGACACCCTTTGGTATGCATGGAGGAGAATGACTGGAGGATCCAATGACCAAGATTTCACCTGCCACGTGGCAGCATCTGATAGGAGGTCCATGGCGTAGTTCACCCGGCAGAGATCCAGAACAGACAGGCCGCTGATGTCAGCACCATCTGCTGTGGATGGCTCCCGGGGCGGCAGAGGCAGCATTTTGGGCGGCAGCTGCAGCGGCTTGTTTGGCTGGTAGTGCGGAGAGGGACGGCGAGGGAAGTGAGAGAAGCTCAATCACTTGCACTAGGAACCTGATAGGGGATGAGAGGGTGGGTGAGAGGGTAGGGAGGGATGGGGAGGGATGGGGAGGGATGGGGAGGGATGGGGAGGGATGGAGAGGATTGGGGTGTCAGCATGCAAGCAGGCTCGCTAAAGACGACGGGTAATAATCCGCGCCATTAAAATCTGCAAGTTCAGATTTGAAGAAAAGAAAGATCAAAAGGGGGAACTGAGGGGGAGGAGGGGGTGGATGAGAGGGACGTGGGGTGGGAGGGGAGAGGATAGTCGGAAGGCAGGAAGGCAGCAGAGATAACTGCGGGGGCAACAAGGGGGACGATAAGAAAAGGGGGAGAGGCAATCAGTGATAGAATTGGAGCTGAACTAATTGCTTAGTAGAGAAGGCACTAGGCCTGAAGTACAAACAAGGTTGGGTTGAGCAAAGCTAGGGAAAGGATGGGATGGGAATCCTAGCAAATCTCCAATTGTGGTGAGTTGGCAGATTTGCAGGATTACGAGGGAATCTCAACCAGATAGGGTTGGGATTACAAACTACACCCAACCCGCAAATAACCTACGCGATATAGAATATAGTACACAAAGTGTTGACAGCCTATTTCTAACAACCAGGAGCGGAAAAGGAACGCGGTTGGAGGGAGAGAGGGAGGGAGTAAGGAGATTCATTGGAGTGACGAGTGGAAACGCATGGGTGTTTAGAGGAGGACGGCGGGTGAGGGGAAAGAGGGGGTGGGGCAAGGTGGGGAGCATAATGAAAAATCGATATTAGAAAGGGGATTGGGGAGAAAGGAGAACGGGAAGGGAAGGCAGAGGGAGGAGGGGCGCACCAGGAAGGGAGGAGTCGAGATGCTATGGACACCACAACCTGCCATGTGCATGTGCATGCCATGCCATGACATCCCATGCCATTCCATGCCATGACATACGATTCCATGCCATCCCATGCCATCCCATCCCATCCCATCCCATCCCATCCCATCCCATCCCATCCCATCCCATCCCATCCCATCCCTCCCATCCCATCCCATCCCATCCCATCCATCCCATCCCATCCCACCCCACCCCACCCCACCCCACCCCACCCCACCCCATCCCATCCCATCCCATCCACATCCCATCCCATCCCATCCCATCCCATCCCATCCCATCCCATCCCATCCCATCCCATCCCATCCCATCCCATCCCATCCCATCCCATCCCATCCCATCCCATCCCATCCCGTCCCGTCCCGTCCCGTCCCGTCCCGTCCCCTCCCATGCCATGCCATGCCATGCCATGCCATGCCATGCCATGCCATGCCATGCCATGCCATATCGTGCCCAGTCAACGGCAAATAAGAGGCAGCAGAAGTTGAAGGAGAAGCAGGGAACGCGGGCCAGGATCAGAGGATAGTGGGATGGGATGGGATGGGAACCAGCCAGCTTTGCATTGCGGCGATTTTTTAGGCGCCTCAAAGATCCCCTCAATGCTGCGGTGCAGACCAAAAATCACCTCAAGATGGAACAAGCCGAGGCGACAACATGCAGATGAACTTATAAACACTACCAAGGAATCTGGCAGATATATGGCAGGTATGGTGATGGCGGCAGGTAACTGAACATTTTCAAGGTGCCTCAAAAACTGAACATTCAAGTACACCCAGTTCAAGAATGTAGAATCGCGCCGTTTCCTTCCCCCACCTCTGTTTCACGGCACAAGGACGCAAGCATGAGCCGATCCAGCGACGGCTGGACGAGATCCGAAGCATCCAACGGCTGAGATGCCCCACCGCTCTTCCCACCGCCGCCCGCTGCTGCTTCCCGCCAGCATTGCAGTGCGAGCGACGCCTGTACTGCTGCTGTCTGTTGGCAAGAGAAGGGGAGAAACAAGGGGTGCAGGGGTGAAAGGGATTTGAGTAAGGCCTTGCTCTTGCTTCTTCCCTCTCCTACCTGCCGCTTCTCGCCAG